TAAGTTGGGGGAGAAGTGGTGGGGGGGGGGTTAAGAGATTAACCAAAGGACTTGTATGCATGCATATAAGCATAACCCCTGGTCACAGTCCACAGACAGCAGGGGGGTGAAAGCATGTGCTGTGGGGTGGGACTGGCCGGGGAGAGGTCAATGGGGGAAAAAGGAGATATATGTAATACTTTAAACAATAAAGAATTTAAAAAAAAAACACACACCAAAATTTATAAACAAAAAGATAGTGGCATTTTTCCTTTGGTTTTACTGAATTTTCTTTTCCAGTGAAGAACAATATAGGACAGGAGGCCGAATACAAGCAGTCTTGCGTGAGCCCAAGTAACCCTTCCTGTGTTTTCCTTCCTGCACCCCGATATTGAGCCCTCCCCTTCCCACAAATGGAAGAGTTAAACCAGCAGCCTCTGCTGCTGCTGACTAAGGCTAGCACTTCCCTTGTTTCTAGTAGCCAGGACATGTTTGAAAGTGGGAGCATCTCAGAGTCCAGCGAGTTTCCTCCACAGGACATCCCCACGCCCGGGTCTGTGCGCAGCACGGAAGTATGTGCACCTGCTCTGGCGTTATTTGTCTGAAAGGGGAGAGAGTGAATGATGCTGAGCCTCCTGTCTTTGCTTTCAAGATTAGAGGCGACAGGGAAAATTGATTTCATATTGACTAAGCTTAATGTTCTCAAACAGAGCAGCTCTGAATAGGTATGATTCTTCTGGTCATGTGGGGCGGGGCCAACCTTTTGGCCTATATGATTCAATCAGTTGCCTATGTTATTTTTCCATTTCCCAGAAATAGCTATTTATTTTGACCAACTAAGTGTTTTTATGGAGTGGAAGGGTTTAAAGTTCTTTGCTGTAATACTACTATGTACTAGTTTCAACAGATGCCCAGGAAGTGTCTTATTATTACGTACTACTCTGTCAAATAGGATGAAGTATTTATGATTTACTTTAGATGCCGGACATAATAAAACAAAAACTTAATGAAAAAAGGGAAGGAAAATAATGGAGAAAGATTGGCTATTTTATTATGATTGGCGTCACCCAGGAGAACGGAAAGCTAATGCCCAAAAGCCCAAACTTGAAGGTTTACAGACAAGGGATTGTATAGAGCAAAATCACAAGTTATCGTGAGTAAGGTCAAGAGTGAGGGAAGGGGCCCTGGTCGAGTAGCTTCGTTGGTTAGAATGTCCTCCAGTATGCCAAAGTGGCAGGTTTGATCTCCAGCCAGGGCACCTACAAGAAGCAACCAGTGAATGCATAAATAAGTGGAACAACAAATCAATGTTTCTCTCTCTCTCTCTCTCTCATCAATAAATACATTTTTAAAAAGAGTGAGGTAGATAATAATTTTAAGTCTTGCGGTCAGCTTTGAGTCTCTCAGTATGGTTTCACGGGGCCATGGCCAGAGGTCACTCTGCTTTAGAACTCGAGCTGAAACACAACACAGGCCATGATGTTATCTTTAGCTTAATGGAAACCCATACCTTGTGACCCTGAGTCCAGGCATGGCCATTGTTTCTGGCTGCCTTAGGGGGTTGATGACCAGAAAAGGAAAGGGCTAAGGCGTATTAAGTGGGCATGCTGTGAAGAAAGGGAATAGTGCTGGGGGTCCATATTAAATCAGAATCATACAGTAAATCAGGATCCTTGGTTTCATTTGACCAAATTGATGTCTTTGAAAATCTTGCAGTTTTAGGGCTGACAACCTGAGGTGTGCTCGCATACCTACATGTGACTAGGGCTTCAGTTTTTAGACAGTTCCTTGAAGATTAAAACTATATCTTGTTAAATATTGTATATTTAACAATTATATCAAGATATTGAACTTCAATAAGAGAGTTTATGTTTAGTGAATGCTTAATATAGGGATGGTAATTTCTAAGTACAAGGTCTTTGGTATTAATTTATAAATCTCCAAAAGATTTTTAAAATATTATTTTTTATAAGCTGGCTCATTAGTAATCATTAATCATATATTAAATTTCCTGTACCAAGTCTTCATCCATCCCTTTTGTTTTTCAGTTTCTAAGCTGACTAAACAACTAATGCTTCTGGAGACTAAAACGCAGAGCCAAGAAAAGGAGCTAACTAAAAGCAAGAAGCAACTGGAGAATTTATGTACCGAATGCCAAGAACTGAAAACACAGTTGGAGGGCAAAATAGCAATGAAAGTTCATACTTCAATTGTAAATGAATTACAAAGGTAAGGAATTAATGCCTTTTCAAGGGTTAATGCACCACAATGCATATTGTTATAGGCGGAGTGGAGAGAGGTTGCTCTTTTCTTTCTTTTTTTAAAATTTTGTTCCATCTTTTTCTGAGTCTCTGAGTCACTGTAGCTGCATGACCACATGTGTCTGAGTCTGATAATGATAAATACTTTATTAAAGTAGCAGAGGGCTGTCTCTGCACTTTGTGTGTATGTGTGTATATTTTTCTCTACTGTCCCAGCCTTTATTGATGTTAGAACCAAAGATAATTTAAAGGAGTAGAACTGAAGCCTAGAGATCCAGCAATAAGGAACTGGTTAAATGAAAGGATGCAACCATAAAATGGAATACAACACAGCCATTAAAAATTATGTCATAGCCCTAACTGTTTTGGCTCAGTGGATGGAGCGTCGGCCTGCAGACTAAAAGGTCCCAGGTTCGATTCCCGTCAAAGGCATGTACCTTGTTTGCAGGCACATCCCCAGTAGGAGGTGTGCAGGAGGCAGCTGATGGATGTTTCTCTCCCATCGATGTTTCTAACTCTCTATCCCTCTCCCTTCCTCTCTGTAAAAAATCAATAAAATATATATTTTAAAAAAATTATGTCACAGCCTGACTGGCAGGGCTCAGTGGTTGAGCATCAACCTATGAACCAGGAGGTTTGATTCCCAGCCAGGGCACATGCCCAGGTTGCGGGCTCAATCCCTGGTGTGCAGTAGGCAACCGATCAATGATTTTCTCATCATTGATTTTTCTCTCTCTCTGTCCCTCTCCCTTCCTCTCTGAAATCAATAAAAAAATTTTTTTTAAAAAGTAACTTCACGAAAGATTATTTTTTACATGAGAAAATAGCCTATAGTGCTAAGTATTTTCTATTTGATATTACACATAAACTATACAAAAATGCCTCTCATTGAGTAAAAGGCACATTTTAGATGCAGGGGATTTTTTTTATTAGATAAAGGGGATTTTAATTAAATTGGTTTAGTTAAGACCAAAAAGATGAAATAGACACTGCCAGCTCATCTTCAGCCCTCACCTCTAACAGGCTAATGCAGTGGTTGGCAAACTGCGGCTCGCGAGCCACATGCGACTCTTTGGCCCCTTGAGTGTGGCTCTTCCACAAAATACCACGTGCGGGCGCGCACGTACAGTGCGATTGAAACTTCGTGGCCCATGTGCAGAAGTCGGTTTTCGGCCTGGGGGAGTCTGTTTTGAAGAAGTGGCGTTAGAAGAAGTGGGGGGTGTCGGTCAGTCGGTCAGGCGACGGGAGACGCGGTGCAGGAGGGCCGCAGGAGAAGCAGCGTGGGGAGGCGCGCGCAATTCATGCACGAGAGTTGAGTGAGCCAGTCAGTCAGCAGTCTCATTGTGCAGTGGTTAGTGCTAGTCATGTCTGCAAATCCCGCGCGGGTGACAAAAGTACCTACTCGAAGCATCAAGTTACCTGTATTTTTCCAACCAGCTGCAAATCCTACAGGTATTTTTGTCATCAATTTAAGAATTGTAATTCTTTTGTGTTGGTGGCTTAAAAAATTTGGCTCTCAAAAGAAATTTCAATCGTTGTACTGTTGATATTTGGCTCTGTTGACTAATGAGTTTGCCCACCACTGGGCTAATGAATACAACTTGAAACACAGGCAAATCTTTCTGGTCTAAGAGACGGTAAAGGCATTTCCTTAGTATTTAAACATATTAACATAATCAGTTACATACATTTAAATATAAAATCAATATCTGCCGAAACCGGTTTGGCTCGGTGGATGGAGCGTCGGCCTGTGGACTGGGGGGTCCCGGGTTCAATTCCAGTCAAGAGCATGTGGCTGGGTTGCGGGCACATCCCCAGTGGGGGGTGTGCGGGAGGCAGCTGATCGATGTTTCTCTCTCATCGATGTTTCTGGCTCTCTATCTCTCTCCCTTCCTCTCTGTAAAAAAATCAATAAAATATATTTTAAAAATAAAATAAAATCAATATCCAATAGGCTTATTTTTTAATAAGAGAAAGGATAGGATGCCTTTTAAAGATTTTTTAATTGATTTTTAGAGCAAGAGGAAGGGGGGAAGAGATGGAGAAACTTTGATGTGAGAGTGAGACATAAGTCAGCTGCCTCCTGCACGCCCCCTACTGGGGATCAAGCCCACTACCCGGGCATGTGCCCTAATTGGGAATTGAACTGGAAACCTTTCAGTACACAGACAACGCCCAACCAACTGAGCTACACGGGCCAGGGCTTGCAAGCGGGTTTTGATATTGGATTCACCATCTCTGTGAAAGTTAAACATTGTTAATCAAATTCAATCATATCTTTAGAAAGGAAAAACAGTAATAGCACTTGCTGGACCAAATTACTTTCGGATTTCAAAAAGCTGATCATGTCCATTTAACTGCAAGCCACTCTTATGTAAATCAGGACTGTCCAAAGAAATATTCTCGCAATCTTTCATGATCTGAATTCTGGAATATGAGATCAATGTAAATATGGTACACATAAAAAAAGTCACGAGATATTTTTGTATTAAATAAGGCATCTATTCATTAGTTGCTTTTTTTTTATTGCTTAAAGTATTACAAAGAGTATTACATATGTCTCCTTTTTTTTCCACCCTTGACAATCCCCTGGCCTCCCCTACCCCGCAGTGTCTCATTAGTTGCTTTTTTGAGATAAGCTATCAAGTCTTCCCTTTGTGCCTTCTTCTTAATGCCAGCAACAATCATTTTTGTTCTGGGGATGTACTTCTTGGGACTCTCCAAATTTTCCATCAGCATCTCCTCTCCCCAGGTGATGCCTTTGTTCTGGTTAGGCCTAACCTGTTTTTCACCCAAATAGACCATGGAGATTTGGTCCAGTCTTGTGCTTGCCTCCTTTGTGTACAATTCGGCACTGGGTACTCTTCTGGACAGAAGTCTTCTTGCCCTTCTCAACATCACCCATTTTTAAATTGTGCTTTCATCACATGTGATACAAATGTTCTTGCTTGCAAGCCAGAAGTCCTGCTCTCTCACCACAGTATATTTTTAAGTGAAGAGATTAGGTTACAAAACAGTAAAAAATGATCACACCCTGTCTGGTGTTGGTCAGTGGTTGAGCGTCAGCCCATGAACCAGGAGATCATGGTTCAATTCCCAGTCAGTGCACATGTCCAGGTTGTGGGCTAAGTCCCCAGTAGGGGGCATCCAATAGGCAGCCAATCAGTGATTCTCTCTCATCATTGATATTTCTATCCCTCTCTCCCTCTACCTCTCTCTGAAATCAGTAAAAACGTTAAAGAAAATAAAAGAGAGTGATCACAATTGGCTCTGGCCAGTGTGACTCAGTTGGTTGGAGCATCATCCTGTATACTAAAAGGTTTCAGGTTTGATTCCTGGTCAGGACACATACCTAGGTTAAGGGGTCAATTCCCTCTTGGGGCATATACAGGAGGTAACCAATCAAAGTTTCTCTCTCTCTCTTTCTCTCCCTCCATCCCTCTCTCCCTCCCTCCTGCTTTCCCTCCTTCTGTTCCTCCCTTTTTCTCTAAGTTAAAAAAAAGTTTTTAGCCATAGTTTGGCTCAGTGGATAGAGCCTGCAGATTGAAGGGTTCCAGGTTAAATTATGGTCAAGAGCACATGCCTGGGTTGCGGGCTCAATCTCCAGTAGGGGGCATTCAGGAGACAACCAGTCAGTGATGCCTCTCATCATTGATGTTTCTATCTCTCTCTCCCTCTCCCTTCCCCTCTAAAATCAATAAAAGTCTATTAAAAAAATTGTTTTAATAAAAGAATTATTTGCCCAGCCACACTCTCTCTCCTATCCTCTAGGAGCTCCATCCCAGGTCCTCCAAGGATGGGTGGGGAGACGCTGTGCAGAGGCCTTCCAAATGACCCACCAGGGGCTGAGGTTTGGGCTGATTATCACTTGCCTGGCAAGTGGCTGCTTCATTGTAGCCTCTGTGTGTTTACTGGATACAAGCCTGTGATGTTTTTATCCATCAGCCAGTTGCAGAAGGAAGAAGAGAAAGAAAGTGCTGAAATGGAAAAGTTGATGGAAAAGTTGACGGTCCTGCAAGTGCAGAAGAAGAGTTTGCTCTTAGAGAAGAACAACTTGACAGCTAAAAACAAAGCGCTGGAAGCTGAACTCGAAAGGGCACAGAAAACAAATAGGTCTTTATATATTTTTTTCTTAAGCTTTTTAGCCATTAAAAAACAATTAAAAATAGTCTCTTTTTCTTTTTCTAATATTAGCTATAAAATAGAAAAGAATATAAGTACAGTAAAAGCTTTCCTGTTGATCAGCATTTTTCTAGTCTATCCTATATAATAAAAGGCTAATATGAAAATCGACCCAACGGTGGAGCAACCGTTCGCTATGACGTGCACTGACCACCAGAGGGTAGACACCAATGCAGGAGGTGCCCCGTGGTGGTCAGTGTGCTCCCACAGGGGAGCACCACTCAGCCAGAAGCCAGGCTCACGGCTGGTGAGCACAGTGGTAGTGGCGGGAGCCTCTCCCTCCTCCACGGCAGTGCTAAAGATGTCCAACTGATGGCTTAGGCCCGCTCCCTGTGGACTGGCTCCCCATCAGTCGGACATCCCCTAAGGGCTCCCAGACTGTGAGAGGGCACAGGCCGGGCTGCCCCCCCCCCAAGTGCATGAATTTCGTGCACTGGGCCTCTGGTAGTTCACATATTGTTGAGAATTATAAGATGATTCTAAGACTATGAAACTTCAAGTTCTTTCCTAACCTTTTCCTAAAAGTCCACTTTGGGATACTGAATTCCTTTTCAAAAGTACCTTTTAGAATATGAACCTAAAAATTAATAGAATAAAATATTATTAGCTTATTAATTGTGTCAAAACATTTTGTGATTTCTATTGGCTTGACTTTGAATCAATAATTATGTTGAGCCCTAGCTGGCTTGGCTCAGTGGATAGAGCGTCGGTCTGCGGACTGAAGGGTCCCAGGTTCGATTCCGGCCGAGGGCACATGTGGACTCGTTCCCCAGTAGGGGGTGTGCAAGAGGCAGCCAATCAATGATTCTCTCTCATCATGATGTTTCTATCTCTCTCTCCTTCTCCCTTCCTCTCTGAAATCAATAAAGAAATATATATTTTTTTAAAAAATAATAATTATGTTGAGTTTAAAATTAAATTCAGTTACCATTTCTCACCTTGAAACTTACAGATTTTGATTGCTGAAGAATAACTTGCTGTTTATATAATACAGATATTCATTATGCTCTAGCCATCCAGGTTAATGAGTTTTTTATTCCACCATTTGGGGAACTCTTTAGGAGATCTCAAAAAAAAATTGACGTCCTCAAAAAGCAGGTTGAAAAAGCCATGGAGAATGAAATGTCTGCCCACAAGTACCTGGCAAACCTTGTTGGCCTGGCGGAGAATATCACTCAGGAGCGTGACAATCTGATGTGTTTGGTAAGTCTCCTCAGTCACTTCCATACACTGTAAGTTTATATGCAAATCATTTCAGGAGTATATTTTTTGTTTTACAAAATTATCCATAAACAGCTTCATCTTTTTAAATTTCAACAGCAAAATTTCAAATTCTCCAAAATTTTATCTTTCAATCATGGGGGGAAAACATTTTTAAAAGTCAAATAACCCAAACTTTTAAATAATGGCAAATTATATGTTAAAAGGTAAACTAATGGAGTTAGTCCATTTAGCTAAATGGGAACAGTAGTTATCAGGTGTATTACGCACACAGATGCACCTTTATATTCTCTCTGTAAAACTGACTTAATATATTCCTTGTTTGAAGAAACATAAGAATCATAGACGGGTTAGAGTTCATCCTAAGGACACAGTTTAAAGGGCAGTGATATTCATCCCCTTGTTTCTAACAACACCAGTCCTCAGGAAGGGAAGGGAGGAAATTATTGGTGGTGATGAAGCTCTACGCAGCCAGCAGGAGTGATGCCATGGACATGATCCCTGGTATCTCCGCAATGATTTTAAAAGATGTCTACAATAGGATGTACAGTGAAATAAAATAGATGCTATGCCACGCTATATACATTGAGACAAGTCTGATAGGAATTACCGCCAAATGTTACAGTGAGTTAGATATTCAAATGGTGGAAATATAAGAGATATTTAAAATGCAGATAAGTAAAATGATTTTAAAAATTTTCTTGTAATTCTTGATTTTTCTACATTGAACACATTGCTTATTTAAGCAATGTTGGTAGTGTAGGGTCAGAAGTAAGTTTAATGGATGTCATTACAAAAGAGACTTGAGGACTTTCTGAGAGAGTCAGAAATTGGCAGTTGAAAGTAACTTGGCCCTTCTCTGGTGAATGAAGTGTGGAGAGTCTGTCAGGATGTGTCACGGGCTTACTCCCATTTGCTAGAAAGATATTAAGTTCCTCCATAGGAAAATGCACAGAGGTTTTAGCTATTGTTTATATAAGAAGAAATATAAATAGTATCCAAATCTTGGGGGAAAATTTTGATCTTTTTAAAAATTTTTTAAATTTTATTTTAGAGAGGAAGGGAGAAGGAGAGAGAGAGAAGCACTGATGTGAGAGAGAAACATTAATCGGTTGCTTCCCTGTTTCCCCTTCTGCTCTGCCCCCTGGGCTCACCTACTGGTATATCAAGAGGCAAACAGAGGGCTTATTGAAAAACATAAACTGCTAACTAAGCCCATTTATCTAGCAGACATTCATGGGGACCTGGCTGTCCCGTGTCATTGCCACTGTAAAGACAAAGCCAGCCTGGCCAGTATTGCTCAGTGGTTAAGCATCGATTCCTGGTTAGGCCATGTGCCCTGGTTGTGGGCTCGATCCCCGGTAGGGGGCATGCAGGAGGCACGGGTAGGACACGCAGGTTCCTCCAGCCCACATGGGCCAGAGAGCATTCCAGGCTTCCATGATGAAGTTAAGATCTTCCCTGACCCTTAGGTCCACCCCTCATATTTATGAGCTTAGGATAGAAATATAAATGGAGGCCACATACTGTGTATTCAAATACTTAGTTATAAATCATGACACAATGAAATGTGTTTTCTCCTCCTGCCCTGACCTTGGTTATTATGGACTGAAATCCAGGCCTGAGTTAGAGTCTTCAGACCCCTCAGACATGGGGGAAGCCACTCTCATATGCCCTGGCCCACCCACCATGAGGGATCTCTGTACACGCAGACACTGCTGTCCCCATGACCCTGCAGGGTCCTTCCCCTGGGAGCCCCAAGGCCAACCCCCTCTAGTAGGAGTTCAGGGGTGGTACTGGCTGCCTTTGCACTTCCCTGGGGCTGCGACCCATACACTCCCACCTTCCCTCTTCCTGGTCTCTTGGTCCTTATGAGAGCCCTTGGTATTGATATTGGCATCTTAATTTCTAATCCTGCCTTTGGGGTGGGCTTTCTGTGTGACTTGTGGCAAGTTAAATAACTCTTTTATTTTTCCTTTCTAATAATCAAATTGCCTCTACTAGTCTACTCTAGAAGGAATGCTCAGTTTTATAATTTTTAAATGATTTGAAATAATTTATAGTGCATAGTAGTTCATGTCCCATGTAGATATTAATATGAATCATTCAGCTTCAAATTATATCCCTCCTTAGAAATACTGCCTGTCACATTTGTTTAGAGAAAAGCATTGTGCATTCATATTCTCCTTAATTTTGTAATTATTCAAATAAATCAAGGTAAACTTTATTTGCATCTTGGCACTTACTCCTTGGATATGATTGAAGGAATGGTATATTCCATAGGATAGAGAAATGTGTTAGAACTCTTGCAAACCTCTCCCATTCCCTGGTCCTGGGGGGCACAGATCTCCTGTTTGTGCCCAGGAGGGACAACCCGCATAGTGTTCCACTCTTGCCCCTCCTCAGCTCTTGGCCAAGTTCTGCCCACAGCCCTCACACAGGGAGTGGGAATCCAGGTGGGGGCCAGTGGGGTTGGGCCAAAACAACTGTAAGAATGAAGATCATTTGGGAGTAGTAATATTTTTTGCAGAATTTTGTATTCTTTTAATTTTTCTGTAAAACTGAGAGCCCATTATTTTTCTTTTCACCTTTCTCCTTAGGCCAAATGTTTAGAAAATGAGAAACATGGAGTTCTCAACAAAATTATAAAAGGCAATATTCGCATGGGAAGGTTGGAGGAAAAAGTCAAGGTAAGTGATCATTTAGCCTTAAAGATTACTTTTTTAGATGGGAACAGAGGCTTACTGGGTACAGGTTTCCACAGCAAAGTACATCTCGAATGTGTGTAACGCTGCTCATCCAGAGGTTCAAGCAGCACGTGGTTTTGCTGGCTGAAACGGCACCTCTTCAGAGGTAGCACCTCTCCGCTCATTGAATAAACTGAAGCTCATCTGCACAGTAAGATACAATGCAGATGTGGTTTGTTTGTTTTTGGAAAAGCTACAGAGCCCGTTGGGTGTGGCTCAGTGGTTAAGCGTCAACATATGAACCAGAAGATCACAGTTCAATTCCCAGTCATGACACATCAGGGCTGTAGGCTCAATCCCAGTAGGAGGCATGCAAGAGGCAGCTAATCAATGAGTCCCTCTCATCATTGATATTTCTATCTCACTCTCCTTCATCCTTCCCCTCTGAAATCAATAAAAATATACTTAAAAATAAAAGATACAGAAAAATCTCCAGGCTATATCCTTAAGTTAATGTTCAGGCTTTATGATCAAACCTACTTCAGTTGTTGGTTCAATTGGGGGGCAGCATTGACCTACTCCTCTCTTGCACCCTCCAGTTTCTCTGCCCAAGAAAGCCGTTCTCATTGTACTGACCTCCTCTTGGCCACCTCCCATACTTGACCATTCTCCTCTCCATCGTCTGCATTCTGACTGCTGGTCACTCAGCATGCATCCACAGCCTCATCAGGCACACCGATTTCTCCTGGCCAGGAGCTGGGAGAGGACCAGCAGGCCAGGGGCCTGGGTAGATGGGAAATAAGGCCCAGGACCTCTGGGCTCAAGTGCATGTAATATAGGACAATGATTAGAAAGGTCTGATAAGTGGGTAGAGTAATGACATTCGTTTGTTGTGTTTGAAAATTAACAAACCAAGAAAAGCAAATCAAATCATTGGCTGGCTGTGTGTAAATACTCAGTATTGAATGAACATAGTATGTTGTGCATTTGTCTGTTTTATTTTATTTTTCTTATTTTTTTTAAATATATTTTTTATTGATTACATATGTGTCCCTGTCCCCACATCACCCTCCACCCCCCCCCCGTTGTCCGTGTCCATTGGTCAGGCCTCTATGCCTGCATGTAAGTCCTTTGGTTGCCCTTTCCCCTTTCCCCTACCCTCC